CTGGTTAACACTCATTAGTGCAACACCCAGTTTCCTCTCTTATGAAATAGGGATAATACTGCTACATTCATTCAGCAAGTATTTATTGAATAATACCTTCTACGTGCCACGAGGGGTTTGGCTAGCGAAACAACACAGATGTAGTCCTTGCCCTCAAGGAGCTTATATTTTCCCTATCTCACAAGGCTGTTATGAAGATCAAATCTAAAAACACTGTGCAAATTGAAACACACTACACAAACTGCAAAGTGGTATAATGATTATTATTACTATTAACTTGTTCTACCTCTTAACCACCCATCTTTATTACAACAGCTTAGCAAGATTCAACAAATAAAGTATAGATGATCAGATATAATAGTTAGTCAACTATCTACAGAACTGATTTTCCTAAGGGCTGCAATTCAGGAGCCTAACAAATCACTATTTGTTAGCATACTCTTGGCTCACGACTCTTAGTATAACCACGAAGATAAAATGAACTGAGAATTCAAGGCCTATAACCTGTAATGTCGCTCCAGTTATGGGCTGGGTATGTGGGTTGCATTACCCACACCTGGTAAGGGAGTAAAAAATAAAGATTTCTAGGCCCAATGCCACACCTACTGAATCATAATCCTTAAAGGGTGAGCCTGAGAATCTATAATTTTGACAAGCACACCCAGTCATTCTTATGCTCACTAAAGCTTGCGAATCGCTGCCATAAAAATTTCCTTTGATCAATAACCATGATTTCAAACCCCATTACCAAAATTTACCTGGAAAATCTAAGCCAAATACAATTCAGCTACAATTGAGAAAGCAGCTCTTGAGAAAGTACTTAGCAGTCAATGTCACATGACTCACACTTAACTTGTAAAAATATTTCTTGTGGCACCAACCTCTTTTTATTCAACGGTTTTCAAATTTTCACATAAAATTAAGCCAAAAAAAAGGAATGCCATGAGATAGTCATAAACTATTAAAATTAACTCTCAATAAACAAATTTATATATGTATATATAGCTTTAATTTTTCTTATGGTTTAAAAAGGGAAAGTTGATGGGTATATCATCTTGTAGCTATCTAGGAGGAAAGCATATACTCTCTGCCTAGAATAAATATATCATGTTTGCAAGCCAACCTTAGGGGTCTCTGCTTATTAAAGACCACACTACCCAAATACCAAAAACACAAAACAAACTAGCCAACAGACAAAACTAATCCCGCAAAAATACAGAGGGTACCATATCTATATTCACTGCACACTTAAACCCTCCTAAGAGCATCTCTCAAGAAATCAATCAAGAGCCCTTGGAACTATTTTAACTTTAAGAAAACCTGAAGTCAAATGTTACTTCACAAACTATATAATTAGTGCAAAGACATATTTATTTTGGTTCTATTTATTGAAGGCATCCTTCACTCATTAGCCTCCAGGTATATACACATCAAAGGGAAGACACTCAATATATGTTATACCGGGAAAAATTACAAGGTGGAGACTAACACTGCAAGTGAAGAAAACTTTCCATTTGCAGTAAAATTTAGAGCCCAGGGGGCTTGTTCATACTCCAGAACCAAGCCCTGCAACATGACTCTTTTCCAAACCAGTTAGAATCCAGTCAGTTTTGATAGGAGAAAGGACAAACTGAACCATGCTGAATTTAGTTTAATGACTTTTCCAAGATTCAATAAGGACAGGGCCTTGGTAAGCAGACTTTCAAAGAAATACATGGAAATTGATGTTCCTACTTTTGTCCAAGCTTGTATTTCCTTAAATCTCAAAGTTATTCTGTTCTTTCACACCTCTAGCAGTTGTCCAAACAAGTGCAATATATGATAATTGAAATAAAATAACCGGTGTAGAAGAGGAAAGCGTCTAAAATAGGGAAAAGTCTAAAACAGCAATTATCAAGATTGAGACCTCCACCTATGACTTCATACAAACTACATCTACACAATAGTAAGCTCCCCATGCCTAATCCTGACCCCACTTGGCACTTCATCAACATGCAAACCTTTCCTGGGACAAGAGAGAGGTTAACTTAAGGAACTTGGGTGAGAGACAGAGAAAAGCTCTAAGGAGTGTGTCACCTAAAGAATGCTTTAGGAGGGCCGGCCCCGTGGCTTAGCGGTTAAGTGCGCGCGCTCTGATGCTGGCGGCCCGGGTTCGGATCCCGGGAGCGCCCCGAGGCACCACTTCTCCGTCCAACGCGAGGCCGAGTCCCACGTACAGCAACTAGAAGGATGTGAACCTATGACGTACAACTATCTACTGGGGCTTTGGGGGGAAAAACTGAATAAATAAAATCTTTAAAAAAAAAAGAATGCTTTAGGAAAATTTGCATCAACATAACCAAAATCAAAACAAGTAGCAGACACAGATATCCCTTAAGAATCATGTCCGTTTTGTCGCTGATTTCCTCCTCTCACTTGAAAATGTAAGATGCAGACTTTGGAAAAAGGGAAGGAAAGGGAAAGAGGTCATCGAGAATTTACCAACTAGCTCAGCTCTGTGTTGCAACTTTCACTATTTTCACTATAGTAGCAGAGAAGTTTCAAAGAATTTGGAAATCAAAATACAGTTGGAAGGTGATGAACCAATGCCAGGAAAATGTCTGATCCTGCACCACCTTTCTGAGAAAGGTTCTCTAAGCGAAGAGTGTTCTTTTGCCCCGCCCCCTAAAAGAGACAAAGTTCTCTACCCACTACCAAGGATGTGCCAAAATGCAATGTCTTTTCTCTAGGAGGAGGAACAGGCCTAGACTGCAACCCAGGCCTGAGGCAACTCCTTCTATCTGTCCTGGGGGATGATCTGAGTTCTCCTTTACAGTATCTCGTTTATATCTGGACTCTGCTGCAAAACCCACAATAAAGGCAAGAAGCCACCATGTTATTTGTCATCTATCTATCTATCTACATATACATATTTGAAATGGTTGATCACGTTAGTTGTAGTCTTCTACAGAACTATTTTAGTTTAGTTCCTTTAGTTTCTGAAAGAATAAATTATTTAGAATTTTATGATAAATTTATAATTTTAATACTTTAGTTTTAAATTTAAAAATAAATAAGCAGCTGGATCTAAAGTTAAACTTCCAATGGGAAAAGAAAATAACAATTCCAAGAACTTCTATCAGAAGGAAACATCAGCCACAGATTTTGAGATATCTAGAAAGAAAAGAATTAGGTGCCCAGGTACAAAGCAAAAGGTCACTACTGCATTCTACATCTGAATATCCTGACCCCCAAAAGATTGAGAATATATTGCCAGAGAATACCAGAATAGACTATGTAAGACATTAACGGAAAAAGAAAACATCTATATACAGGAAGGACAAAGGAAAGGTATAACTCCAAACCCTTGCTTTGGCGAGCTACTCTTTCTTGAGGTGGAATGTAAGAGAAAATAGAATACCATAGAGTGGATACCACAGAGTAAGAATGTCAAGGATAAGGGCAGGGGGCATAAAGTGAATAAGAAGGGAGGGACTCCTTCTTTCCAAGATACTATCCCCTTTGAAACTGTGAGCAAACCTACTGTTTTACTAGAGGAAAGACTGAAGGTTGTGAAAATTATGATTAAAATAACATTTATAAAAAATGAGAAACACTTCATGAGGGCAAATCCAAGCAGCACTGAGGGAGAGAGCAAAAGTGTGAAAAAAAAGAATACACGAGATAGATTCAGTAAGGACAGAGAGACAGGATTGAAGACTGCTGAGGAGAATGGAGATGAGAGCATACCCCACCTACCAGTCAACCCGCAATCACTATATACATTTTAATACAAAGTACAAAAACACAAATGTAACACCTGAATTAGAGTAGTGGAGGAGGATTGCACAGAAATTGGCAGCATCCTGCCAGAGGTTTAAGGCACGCAGTGGGGAAGTAAGGATGAAGGAGTATGAAGGGGGAGGGACTTCAGCAAGGAAAGAGGATGGGCTGCAACAGCAGCAGCAGAAGGGGCCTAAAAAAGAGAAGGAAGGGAAAGCAAACGGAGAGGAGAGAAAGAATAGGATAAAGTCAAGCGTGGGATCACAAGAGGATAGAGTAGGAGAGAGGATGGAAACGGCGTGCCCTGAAAAAGTACAGAGGTCAAAGACCCAAAACGGGCTTGTAGTTTGCGGAAAGCAGGAGCTAAGGAGAGCTCTACCATAAACCTGACTAAAAAGAAGTACGAGCATGGTGCTGGAGTGGAGACAGGGGGCCGGAAGAGGCATGCCCTCAGAAGGATGCGGCGATGGAGACACTAGATTAAAAAACGGGGACTACTGCGAAGAGAAACTGTGGTGTTAAAGACCCCACCACCATCACCAAAAAGGCATGCACGGGTCAGCAAAGATGTACTCGGAGAAGGAATACAAAAAGGAGGAAAGGAAAAGGTCACATGGTAGGCTAGAAAAATATAGGGGTAACTATAGGAGGGGGTAACTAAGGAAAGAAAAGGAGTGCAGTGTGGAGGGATGATGTCTCTGGAGAAAAAGTAGCAGCAGACCAGAGGTCCTGCCTACGTGGTCTAGAGGGCAGAAGGGCCGGCCGGTCCACGGGGGCTGAAAGGAGTAGTGGAGAACAAGAAACTAGGATGCTCAAGATGAGAACTTGAGGAGGACATACAGTGGCTGGGTCAGAAAAGGAGATGCTGTCAGTGACGAGCAGAAGGGGTTCATTACGAGGAAAGCGAGGGGCAGCGAGGAGCAGAAAGCATGCCGAAGGGAAAGGCAAAGGGGCAGAAAAGAAGCCAAAGGAATGCGGGCAGGGGTAAATGCAGTAGGGGCGCAGGGACACGAACTGGAGATTACAGGGAGGGAGGTGGGAGTCGCAGAAACCCAGAGTGTGGGGAAGTAAAAGGGTTAAGCCCCAAAGAGGTGCGAGGCCTGAGGGGGCGGGGGTCCGGAGGGCCGGTTCAGGGATTGGGGGGAGGTGCGGCCTGAGGGTGACAGGGGTAGAGGGGAGATGCAGGGACAGGCAGAGCGGATGGGGCGGGGTGGGGCGGCGGGCACCCCGATACTCACACCTCCAGGATGCGGTCCCCCTTGCGCACCCCGGCCCGATCGGCCGCCCCCCCGGGCAGCACGGCGCTCACATGCTGCAGCGGCGCGTACAGCTCCCCGTTGATGCTCCGCAGTTGCCCGCCCTCGCTCACTTGGCCCCGCACGTTGAAGCCGTAGCCGGACTCAGACTTGACGATGCGCACGACCCGCGGGCCGCCGCCTCCCCCGCCGCCGTTCCCGGCGCAGTGGAGCCCAGACCCCCCACCGCCGCCACCACCTCCGTTCCTGTGAGGGGCTGAGGGGTGAATCCCTTCCCCGTCCTCGTCCGCCATCTTGCGAGCAAGCGAACCGTACCCCCGCCCCGCTACGCCTCCACTCCCTATTCGCGCGCGCTCGCCCTTCTCAGCAGCAGCGCGACCCCCGGCGCGCGCGCCCGCTCCGGCGACGGCGGGACCCCAGTCGGCCACGGAGCTGCCGGCGGGGGTAAAGGGGAGGCAGGGGGCGGGGGGAAAGAGGACGGTTAGGCACCGTGGAGCCTCCTGGGAGATGTAGTTTCTGGGCGGTGGGGGCGGGGAGCGGGCTGCACCCGGGCCGGAGCTGAGATCATACGACGCATTCGGGAGCAAAGCCTGCTGGGAGTTGTAGTTTGTCTTTTATGCTCTTAGGAGATTCATGTGTTGGACCATGAGCTCCTAACCCAGCGCGGAGCGTGACTGACTGCTTGAGCTGTTGACGGGGTGCAACTTTTTTTTTCTTTTTTCATTTCATAGCCTCTGAAAACAGTAATATTAGGACAAATTGACATTTGTGATTCAACACAGCCTTAAATTATAACAATTCATTTGCTCAGTACCTTATGTGTTCACTTACATTATTTTATTCCATGGCCCCAACAATCTCGTGAGACTACTGGATCATGAATTAGTTTCTCTATTTCACATATTAGGAAACGGAACCTTAGAATGCCCAAAGTCATTCGGCTATTAAGTAACAGGAACTAAGGCCCAGTTATTTTTGTGCAACTTTCCTTTCATGTATTGCGACTAAAAACTATGCCCCAACTATACAAAAAGCATATGTAGAGGAAACTATGGTCTCAGCGATTTAGAACTGGATATTAGAGTGGCCAAGTAATAGTTTCAATTGAGCAATGATTTTCAAGTTACCTTTATTTCTGATTCATTTTGTTTCCCTCAGCAGCCCAGTAGAGTTCTTTGCAAATGGCAGCAATTGATATTTTTTGGTTACCTTCCCAAACACAGACTTAAAGATATTGTGCACAATGCCTGGCAAAGGCAAGTAAGAAGAGCAACATCAAAAACAATGAAAATAGCTTACTTAAGCCCTTCCTACTCAAGCCTGGTATTTGATTTTACCTCCTGACAGGCCAATAATTTAGTCTGTTACTGTTACTGTTCCAAGGTGCTGATAGAAGACACAAGACTCCTGGGTCAGAGACAAAGGGCTATTACTCACAACACAGGAACCAACATGAGCTTCAGCATGTTTGTGTCAATTCCTCTTGCCCCCCAAGTCCCATAGGGATGCTATGAAGGGCTCAGATGAATCTTGTGCACTTAGTGCACATTTACAACACAGCTGAGGAACACTGAGCTTAAAGAACCTGTCATTTTATAGGAAGCGGTAAGCAAACCTGTTCTTTGTCCTGAAGGGAGACATTACTTCATCCCTGAAAGCTGCTCACTATAAACACAACCCTGAGAAATGACCCTGGTAAAAAGCAGTCAGGGCTTTGCATTTTTGGCATACCCAGAAACATGGGTAGAAGCATGCAGGACCTGTGAAGGACTGTCTCTCTCAACATTACTTTGTGCCAAACTCTGTTCTAAGCACTTTACATCTATAATCTCATTTAATACTCACAACCCTATAATGCCCCCTATTTTATAGATGAATAAACATGCATAGAGAGGTCACACAGCTAATAAGCAATGAATCCAGGAGAAGCAACAGGGATACATAGTTACAAGACAGTAAAAGTTAACTTGAGAGGTCTAATGAATCAAAACAACAAGCAACCCCCTGCAAGAATTTGTGGACTATGTAAGGGTTTCCAGGAATTGCTCAAGGGGGAAAAAAACCAGTAGAATAATTAGGACATCTCACAAAATGTGGGATAAGGACTCAAAGTTATTATATTTGTACATAAAAATTAATGTGACCTTATTTTATAACCAAGCCAATGAAGAAGAGTCTCGATTAGTCACACGAATATGGAAATTAATAAAAGTTGGAATAAGAATCTTGCTCCAAAATAATAATGGAATTTGGATTGAACATGAATCATTTGGTGTGAACTGAACCTTGGATGGAAAAGAACTTATCCACTAAAGCAAAGTGTCAGAGAAAGGAAAAAGGGAGCTTCCAATAAAAGGGCTATTTTTTTTCTTTGTTTATTTGACAACAATGTACTGAATGCCTACTGTGTTCCAGGCTCTGTAACAGTGGCCAGGGATACAGAGATAAATAAGATGATGTCTACAAACTCCATGAAAGGCAATACAACATAGTTAAACTTACAAATGCGTGTACCCCTTGATCTGGCAGCTCCACTTGCAGGAGTTCAATCTACTGTTATACTTGCACACGTGTGAAATGACATTTTTGTGAAGTTAGTCATTGCAGTGTTGTTTGTATTTGCAAAAGATTATAAACAACCTAATGTTCATTTGTTAAATTATGATACTTCCACAATAAATAAAGAATAAGGAAGTCCTTTATACACTGAAATGGAATGATTTCACGGATACTGTACGTAGTTAAATGTTTACAAGGTGCAGCACAGTCTGTAGAACGTGATACCATTTTTGTATAAAAGGGGACCCCTAGATATGTTTCTATCTCTAGAAGTATTCACAAGAAACTGATAACATTGATTGCCTCTGGGGAGGAAGACTAGTCAGCAGGGGTGGGGACAGGAGTGGGAGGGAGATTTTTCACTATATACTTTCTGTAACTTCTGAATTTTTGGACAGATGAATGTCTTGCCTATTCAAAAAATAAATACATAAAATATTTAGAAAGATCAGATTGAAAGAAAAGGTGATCAGAGTATCCATTGCTGCTCTTGAGAACTCACAATCTAGCAAGAGCGACAGCAGAAAGAAAAACAATTACCATACAGGCTTTGGCACTCCTGAGTAACGAGAGCTGGACAGAGGCCTGCACAAGCTGCTAAGAGTGCACATAGGAGTGATCACAGATGAATTAGCAAGGCAGAGAAGGATAGTGGTGAAGGGCATTTCGGACAAGGGGAACAGTGTATTCAAACACACAGATTTGAAAGAACATGGCACAGTGTTAGAACTGCGAGCAGTTCAGTGGGACTGGAGCAGAGGGGACAGGGGAGGAAGTGGGCAGGTAGGGGAGAAGGGATGTGGGCAAGAATCAGATCTGGGGGGCTGGCCCAATGGTGTAGCTGTTAAGTTAGCGAGTTCTACTTTGGTGGCCCGGGGTTCACAGGTTTTGATCCCGGGCGTGGACATACGCACCGCTTATCAAGCCGTGCTGTGGAGGCATCCCACATATAAAACAGAGGAAGATGGGCACAGATGTTAGCTCAGAGCTAATCTTTCTCAGCAAAAAGAGGAGGATCAGCAATGGATGTTAGCTCAGAGCCAGTCTTCCTCACAAAAAAAAACAAAAAAGAATCAGATCTGGGAGGCTTCAGATATTGAATATCATGCCCAGGAGTTTGAATTTCATTCCTAATTATTTAGGGGCCTCTGAATGCTTTTGAGCAGAGCAGCAAATTTGTGTTTCAGAAAGTTTATTCTTCAGGAAATGTGGAGAACAAAATGAGATAGAAAGATCAGTTAAGAAGCGATTGCAGTGATTCAGGCGAGAACTGATGAGATTCAAACTAGAGCAGTGGTGTTGGGAGGAGGATTCACTGGAGAGAAAGGACTTGGTGACCGCTTCGATCTTAGGTGTGTGGCAAATACAGTGACACCCCTCTCCCAGTGAGTCATGCACTTGTGTAATCCCCTCTCCTTGAGTGTGGGCAGGACCTGTGACTTGCTTCTAGGCAATAGAATATGGCAAAAGTGATACACGTCACTCTCTTGATTGAGTTACATTACATAACCCTCCTTAGCTGACTGGACTGAGAGAGTCTCTTGCTGGCCTTGAGGAAGAAAGCTGCCATGTTGTGAACTGCCTGTGGAGAAGGCTCGTCACAGGGAACTGCAGGAGCCTCTAGAAACTGAGAGCTGCCCCCAGCTGACAGCAAGAAAATAGGGGCCTCAGTCCTAGCCTGCAAGAAATTCTGCCAACAACCACATTTGCTTGGAGGAGGCTCCTGGACTCCACTAAGCAACGAAGCCCAGCCCACACCTCAATTGCAGGCCTGTGAGACCCTACAGAGGACCCAGCTAAGCTGAGCCCATACTCCTGACCCATAGAAACTGTGAGATAATGCATGTGTGTTGTTTTAAGCTGCTAAGTTTGTCATTTGTTACATGGCAATAGATAACAAACATTAACTCCTATTGCATTTACAATCAGTGCGACTCAGTTTAGACCATAACAATTTAATATCTAGTTTAGCTTTACCTTTCTGATCTGAACATAAGCTTCCTGAAAACAAGGAAATTGTCACACATGACTTGTCATACCCTCAGAGTGTATGAGCGTGAGAGGCACAAGAGAGGGAGCTGAACAAGTGTGGATAGAATGTTAGTCCAGGAAAGGACCATCAAGTAGCTAATAACATCTGCCGCATAGGGATGTGGTGGGGATCAAATGAGTAATATGTAGAAAACACCTAACATAATGCTTAGTATATAGCTACTATTAATATACCAATAAATATCACATCTGGCCCCACTCCCTCATTTTGCTGATAAAGAAATAGCTCCCTCCAGTACCACCCTCCAAAAAAAAGAAATAGACTCAGCAAGATACAATGACCTGTCACAGGTCACTCAACAGATCAGTGGCCAGAACTCAACCCTAGGAAGAAAAATTAAATGACTTAACTGAGGCAATAAGGCATGCCATTATCCGTGGATTCATGGGCTGAGGAAAACAACAACAAGGCCCTATTTTTAGGTCTTTGCCCTAATTCTGACTCTTCTTTCCTCTTTGCTACCTTTATGCACTTTTTCCACGAAAACCACATGAAAAATTACTTTTTTGGTAAATTGAGTAACTGATTTACAGGCGTGGATAATACCTAGAAACTAGAGGGTTTATGAGTCAAGATTCCTTTAGTTGCAAGTGACGGAAACTCAACTCAAATTAGCTTAAGCAAAAAAGAGACTGTTTTGGTTCATGTGGCTAAGAAGGACGTTGGGTATTCCAGTTAACTGTAGCTGCATAACAAATCATCTCAAAACTTAGTGGCATAAAACTATCATTTTATTATGTTTATGGACTCTATGGGTCAGGAATTCAGATAGGACACCTAGGAATGACTTGTCTCCGCTCCATGATGCCTGGGGCCTCAGATGGGAAAACTCAAAGGCTAAGGGTGACTTGATGGCTGGGGTCATCTGGA